AGGCCATTGGGGACGCAAAGTAGGTCTTGGTCTCTTTCAAGGCTATTGTGAGGGTGTTCTTCATTCTAGTTTGACTCCGAGTCTGTAAGGCGCAGGAAGATCTCCTCCAGGCTCATCTGTATGGGCTGCAATCTCAGCAACCCCCATCCCTGACTGATTACCAGGCCGGCGATCTCCTCCCCGACTTCTGCGCCGGCGTTGGACTCAATATGGTAGCTTGCCACATCCCCTTCACCGGTCCGCGTCACCTCCCGCACCCCCGAGACGTTGCGCAGGGTCGTCATAACCTGGGCGACGGGCCCGCGAATGTCCACTTCAATGCGCTCCGCTCCCCTGAGGCGCTCGGACAGGTTATCCGGCCTGTCGAGGCGCCACACCTGTACTTCGGGTGGATGATATCACCAGTCGCGACCATGCTGGACTCCGCAGATGTGGGTGCTGAGAATGACGGTGTGTTCGCCCCCGAAACCCTTGATGAGGCTGCGGGTCTCCACCACCTGTATGGGGTCGATGCCGATGGTAGGTTCGTCCATTATGAGCACGTCCGGCTCGTGGAGAATGGACTGGGCTATGCCTACGCGCTGGCGGAATCCCTTGGACAGCTTGCCTATGAGGGAGGACTGGTACTCGCCCAGCCGTGTAATCTCTATGACCTCTGCGATGCGCCGCCGCCGCCAACCCTTGTCCATGCCTCGTAGTCTATCCCATGACGTCACAGTGTATGGGTTAGTCTCCACCGTCATCTCGGTGTACAGAGGCACCGTTTCCGGGAGGTATCCGATGCGCTTGCGGGCGTCCAGTGAGTCGCCCACAACGTCGAAGCCGGCCACCTTGGCAGTCCCGGAGGTGGGCGGTATGAAGCCGGTGAGGATGCGCATGGTGGTGGTCTTGCCGGCGGCGTTGGGCCCCAGTAGACCCAGGATCTCGCCCTTGTTTACTGTGAAGCTGATGCCTTCAATGGCGGGAAAGTCGCCGTAGTACTTGGTGAGGTTGTTCACCTCAATCATTGTAGATTCTGTTGTGCCTTGCATTGCTGCTTTCTTGGGGGCTCTAGGCCCCGGCTGAAACGTATTGGTGAATTATACGCGTTATCCACACCTATGAGCAATACGGAGATTCGGATTCGGCGGCGAGTATAGTGTATAGCCTGGATGCAAAGAAAATGTGAAGGGATGATTCTGTGGGCTTCAGAACAAACCAGTGAGCGCTTCTTGCGGGCTGACACCTGGGATTGGAGACCGCTCGTAGTCCCTGACGTTCCTCGTCACAATGGTCCTAGCGCCGCAGGCGCGGGCGGCTGGCCACCTGCATCGCGTCTTCAAAATCCGGCATAGGCAATCCGGCCGCGTAACGAACGGCTTCTGTGTCAGTCGCGGCCACTGCCACAAAGCGGGTTAGCTCCATAATGAAGTAGCGAGCGCTCACCCCACCTCTCGAGGGCGCTATTAAGTAGTACAGGTTCGATACGGAGTGCCAGGCGATGCATGCGCTCTCGGCCCCATGCTCGACCCGGTCCAGGATTTGCGAGGCCGGACCTGAATAGGGGTGTCTGTCCAGAGCGACGTCAATAAGGACATCGGTGTCCAGAAGTATCATTGGAGGTATTTCTTGGCCAGTGCGTCGTACCGCGGATTGTCGCGCTCCGCCGGCTGAAACCGGCCGCGCCACCGCGAGGCGAAGGAGGGAACATGCTCGTCCGTCATTTCCCTGAGAGATTGCTCTATGAGCGAAGAGAGTGAAACGCCGCGAGAGCGGGCGTACCGTTTGACTTCCGGGATCAGATCGGCCTCCACGGTTATAGTGAGCTTCTGTTTCATGACAACTCTTTCAGATTGCTGAGACGTATACTAATACTATCTGTGCGTATACGTGTGCGTCAATGTGCCTTCAGGGTATCCGACCTCCACCTCTATTTGGCGAAGCTGGGGAGTGGACGTGGGAAGGGGCGGCTCAAAGTGAAGCTCCAACGCCTCACGCAGATTGGCAAGCGCATCATCGGCTGTTTCACCCTGACTGGCAACGTCAACTTCCAGCGCTTGGGCTACGTACCAGTCACCTCCCTTATATACATATACACTCGCCGTCGAGTCAATTGAATATTCAGCGCTCATTCATCTCGTCCCGCGTGAATTTGTGCCCACCTGTGGCTATCTCGCCGCGTAATGCCTGGATGGTTTCCAAAGCGGTGTCTGCTTGCCTGCTGCGCCCAACATAGTCCGAGAGCCACCGCCGAAACTGAGCGTTCAGGGTCGTTCCCTCTTCAGCGGCGCGCCAGCGCGCTGCCTCAATCAGGCTCTCGTCCGCGCTTAAGGTTATGTTCTTCATAGCGTCATCTCATTGGGGTCGTAACACGGATATAGTGTAACTTGGAATCCCGAAAGGTGAAAGCGCACGGCGCTCTTGTCCTTCAGGCGGAAGCCTGCACCAGGCGTTCTATTGCGCCGGTGTCTACAGAGGCGCGAGCCAAGTCCAGGTCGTACATACGCTGGAGGTCAGCCAGAACTCTGGGGTCATCCCCAACGCCTTGCCGATACGCAGGGCCGTGTCCGCCGTGATGGACCTCCGGCAGTGAACGATGTCGTTGATGCGTATTGGGGGCACGCCGATAGCCTTGGCCAAGCGATGTACCGACTGATACCAAGCTCCTCCAGGATCTCGGCCAGATGCTCCCCAGGGTGGATGGGCACAGGCGCAACATTGGCGTTCTCTGCAAAGTGGTTATTAGTACCTGGAGGACGACTTGGGGGCGGCTTATGGTATGACTCTACTCTCGCCGTGAAGAGTCCGGGAACAGTCGCAATCTGTGGGAATCGCGATAGGGTCGAGGGCAGCGCATCAAGCCGTGTCAAGGCTTGCAGAGGAGAGCGAAGGTCTGTCCCGTTGGAGTTTGCTAGAATGTGCGAGATCCCGATTCCCGAGCTAGTTCGAGGGACAGTCCATAAGGTCCGAAGGATTGAAAACCGAGCGCGTGCTATTTGAACATAGTCGCATTGTTTCGACAGTGCTAGGCGTTCTCGAATGCTAAGCAAGAGTTTAGGTGGCATAGAGGCTTAGAAGTTGACATGCCGAAACTGCTCGTGCGTCGAGCTCTCCGAAGTTAAACAAGAGGCGGGGCCCCGGTGTTATGCTCAAGGCGTCCCGCCTAGCATGGCCAAAGTTGGCCGGAGTCGTAATGCTCGAAAGGTGTTGAAGTTCTTCCAGTGGAACTGAATCCATTACATCGCGGTTGCTGTTGGAGGGGTGTGTCCGCGGATAGATGCAGGAACCAGAGGGAGAGACCGCGACTGTTGTGGACGAATAAAGAACGGAGTAAATCGTAGTAGGCTGGCACCCCGTTGCATGCGAATCGGGTCACGAACACCGAGCACAGGGCTTGCCGCCCCATCCGTCGCGGATTGAATGAAGTGCCCTAATATCGGAGTCCGTCCACCCAGAGGAGAGGGACTGCATGTACTATTTTGGCCTCATCGCAAGGACCGTTTTTAATATATCCGCCGCGAAGGTCATAATGACCTCCTGCTGTCGGTAATTTCGGCAAAGAATACGTGATACGAGCTCGAGGATACCACTTGGTCCGATAACGTCTGGTCCAAAAGGGAAAACGAACGACCAGCCGCGGGCTGACGGTGAGCGATGTCCGCTATGATTGCGTCCCCGCACGTATTAGAAGGCACTGGTGCTTGTGGTACAACAATTTTTCACCATCGACTTGGGATCCCCGTCATCACGGGGCTCTACGTAGGTGGCCGTGTGTGATCAGGCTTTGATGTCCACAAAGCTGAGAACTTACAATCAAACGAAGGGGTTTGCGATGCGGTTCTGGTTGTCTGTTTAGTCATGTCTGGCGGCTGACTTCTTCCTCAAAGCATGATCAGAGCGCGTGCCAGAGAGGACACTCGTTATCGTCTAGGAACGTACCACCCGGCACAAGCGTCGATGAGATCAGCCTGAATTCATCGCGGAAGGTATTGGTACCCATCTATCGAAGTAAAGTCGATGAAGGCCTGGGTAGGTGCGCAGACGGTGAGCTGGCCGTATGTGGCTGCTCGATAGTGGTGCGAGAGGGTCGCTAGTGGGCCATACGAACATGCCTTTCTCACTCGTCGAGAAGTATAGCCGTGCACGCCGATATGCTCTACTCCTCAGCAAGTCGGCACCGCCAGACTTCGGCGTTTAAGCCATCCCCACTGCTGAGGAAAGCAACGAGAGCGTTTTGCTACGCAGAGCTTACAGATATCCAGAGACCCATTCCAGTTTATCATGGGAGAGGAGGCCAGGCACCTGGGCCGCTCTCTCCGCCTACAATGACCCATGAGATTCCTCAAGATCTTGTGTCTCGACAGGGGACCTAGGAAGTGGTTCTATGAAAGGGAAACGACGTCGTGCTGGTGCTCTTGATGGTGCTGATCCTGGCGGAATGTGCCTGGTGTCCTCTACAGATACGCCGCACCAGATATGCTGCGGAGCAGGGTCTGACCCGTATCTATTGCTCAAGTAGTCCCTCATAAGAGGGCTGCGCTTCGTGAGTACTTGGATCGTGTGCCAGTCAGCCAATTCCATGGTATCGAACACGCTATCGATGAATTCTCCTGGTATGTCTTTATGGAACAGGTCGCTCATTGAATTTACGAATATCATTCGCGACCGTTTCCACGTAAGAGGTTGGGATATTCGCTCAGGGCGAAGGGTAAGGTCAAACCCTCTTCAAAGAGGATGTCCAGCAGTGCCTCGGAATCGCTCGGCAAAGCGTTCAGCATAGCAATGGTCACATCCACGCGTGACCTTGGTGCAGCCAGTCACAGGATTCCAGGTTGCGTCAGTCCATTCAATTGCAGATTTGTAAGCCATAGCATGCACTTCCTGCTGTGCCGAAGTATATCACTCTATGGGAATAGCACAAACGCCTCTTGTGAGGCATAGCGAGAGGAGCCCGGAGCTGTGATCAGAGTAGGCGTAAGGGCTGGATGAAGCCAGCTGAGCTGTTATGCCGGTGGAGGCTACTACTGGTCAGCCCGGATGGTACTCTTGCGCTGATCTGGTCGGCTTCTACAGTACTGCGCTACTCGTTGCCTGGTCCAGGACAGGCCAAGCAGGTTCCCGAAGACGTGCTCGTTGTGCTCGCCCAGGCAGTTGGCGGGGATGCGGATGCTCAGAGGCGTCTCGGAGATTCCACACCACGCCGGGGTAGCGGTGCGTCCGCGTTGAGGGTGAGGTGACCTACGTGGAAGAAACCCCGTTTCAGTTTAAGTGCGGGTACGTGCGTAGACATCGCCGTGTGGTCCGGTGACACGGCACCGACCGGGACCCTGACCGACTGCAGCAGGCGCATGATCTCGTAGTGGTCGTGCGCTGCACGGTCCACTGCCAACCAGATCGTCCAGCGCGTCCTGGTTGGCGTGGCGGTCGAGGGACGTGGCGAAGCGCGGGTCTTCCGTCCAGGGCGGGATTGCCGATGGCCTGGCAGAACCGCTCCCACTCCTCGTCGTTGGTGACGGCGATGATCACCCAGGAGTCGTCGCCCTTCGCACGGTAGCAGCCGTGGGGCGCGGCGGACTCGTGCCTGTTGCCGCGGGTGCCCTGGACGCGGCCGTTCATCGTATAGTCCAGGTATACCTCTCCCAGGTGGCCCATGTAGGCCTCGCACTGACCGAAGTCGATGAACTGGCCCTTGCCCGTGCGGTTGCGATAGAAGATGGCGGCCATTGCGGCGAAGGGCGCGGTGGAAGAGGCGACGGCGTCGGAGTGGACGGTGCCCTGAAGCCCCGTGGGGTCCTCGCCCAGGTAGCCTCGCAGCGTGGCGTGGCCGGAGATGGGATCGGCAGTGCTGCCCAGCCCCTTGTATTGGGAGTAGGTCCCGTAGTTGCCAAAGAGGGGCATGGAGATCACGATGATGTCCTCCTTGACCTCCTTCAGGTCCTCGTAGCCCAGGCCAAGCCTGGCGAAGACCCCGGTAGCGTAGTTATCGATGACCACGTCGCTGATGGAGGCAAGTCGCTTGAAGAGGTCCTTGCCCTGTGGGTCGCGCAGGTTCAGAGTTATGCCCAGCTTGTTGCGATTGATGCCGTTGTAGAGAGCGACGCGGTTCCAGGGCTGGGTGCCCGGCGTCCTCGGCACACCGTCGGGGTAAGCCCACATGACCGGCGGCGTGCCGTCCGGGCGGGTGTCCGGCGGGTTGAGCTGGCCGCGGCTGCCGAAGCGCTGTATGCTGTCGACTTTGATGACCTCTGCGCCAAGGTCTCCCAGCAGGGTGCAGGTGTACGGCCCGGCCCAAACGTCCGTAGCGTCGAGGATTCGGATTCCCTCCAAAGGCAGCTTTGTCATGTCCGGTCCCTCCTTGGTGGTGAGGTCTCCTAGATAACCCCGGTCTGGCGGTACTTGACCAGGTCCTCTTTTGTGCGACCCAGGCGGTCGCAGTATATCTCCACGTTGTGCTGGCCCCAGCAGGGGAGGAGGACGGCGTATGTCCCACGGCGTCTCTCTCATCTGGAAGGGAGCGCCTCCGTACCTGACGGGGCCGGTCTCCGGGTGGTCCACCTCGACGAAGTAGCCCCGGCTGGCGAAGTGCTCGCTCTCCACCACCTCGCCGACGTCCAGCACCGGCGCGGCGAAGACCCCTTCGGCCTGGGCGGCCTCGGCGATCTGGTACTTGCTCCGGTCAAGCAGCCAGGGGAGGATAATCGCGTCCAGGTCGTCCCTGTGCACCCGCGGTCGCCGGGCGTAGCGAAGCGAGGGTCTTCCATGAGCTCAGGCATATCGAGAAGCCTCACCACCCGGTTCCACTGACGCGGCTGGACGAAGTTGGCAGGGAACTGGACGTACCCGTCCTGGCAGAACTGGAACCCCGCGGCCGGGTTGTCGCCGCGAGTTGCGACCTCCTTGGTGTACTCGGTGAAGAGCAGCCTGCCGTCGACCGCGCCCAACAGGGTCTCCTGCATGGAGACGTCCACATGCTGGCCGATGCCGTGGAGGGCTGCTCCCATCAGCGCGCCCATGCCGGAAGTCGCGGCCTGGGTGCCCGCCAGGTACTGGGCCGCGTTCCCTCCCAGGGGGTGAGGCTCCCGTCCCATCTGGCCCGTGATGCTCATCCGGCTGCCCATCGCCCACGCGGTCAACTCCGTGAAGACGAAGTCCTTGTACGGACCGGTCTGCCCAAACGGGGTGACGGAGACCATCACAAGTCGTGGGTTTATGGCCTCCAGTGTCCTCGTAGGAGAGCCCAGGGCGGCCATTGTCCCGGGCGGGAAGCTCTCAACCACCGCATCGGCGTCTCTGACAAGCTCTTTGAACAGGTCCGCGCCCGTAGCGGTCTCCAGGTTGAGGGTGATGCCCAGCTTGTTGGTGTTCAGGTGCATGAAGAGGCCGCTCCGCTCAGGGTGAGGCTCGTCGTTGAGGAAGGGGCCTGCGCGCCGTGACGGATCGCCCTCAGGAGGCTCTATCTTGATGACCTCGGCCCCGTAGTCGGCGAAGAGCTTGGTGCAGTAGGGGCCGGAGATGTTCTGACTCAGATCCAGGACCTTGATTCCCGTCAGCGCTTGGTCCGCCATAGTGCACCTCCAGACAAAATCGGCTGATTGTGGAGGGTATCTTCTACCCAGGGAGTGATTGCTATCATAGGAGCGCACTGCGTGTTTGACAAGAGGAAAAGGGGGACTGCGCCCTGGGATATCTATTGAACACGGAAAGCATCTGGATAGGAGTCATTGGGCGACGCATCTCGTGGGCACTATGTGATATACGGCACAATGTTGACAAGAAAAGCTACAGGGCCTATATTACCCGCAAGGTCGTGCGGCCTGACTGTGCGTTGTTGGTATGGACGGCAAGGCTGCGCGGCATTGGGGCCTTGATGAGGCACGGAGTGAAGGCCCCTGGTGGATTAGCTAAAGAACATAGAGGGGCCGTGTCGGAGAAAGGAGCGCGAAATGGATTGGGCATTGCCGTATACACCGGAGCAAGAGGAGTTTCGGAAGGAAGTGCGCACCTGGCTGGGTGAGAACATTCCTGAAGAGATGAAGGATCCTGTAGACGCCCGGGACTTCTCCAAGGAGCACTACCTGTTCTGGCGAGAGAAGCATCGGGATATGGCCGCCAAGGGCTGGCTGTATCCCACCTTCCCCAAGGCGTACGGAGGAGGAGGCCTGTCAGGAGACCATGAGACCATTCTGGATGAGGAGTTTTCCAACGCCAGGGTGGTGAGGGCTATGAACAACCAGACTGGCTTCCCTGCTCTCCTGGTGTGGACCACCGACGAGCAGAAGGAGAAGTTCCTCGCCCCCATACTGAGGGGTGAGAAGATCATGTGGCAGAAGTACACCCGAGCCCCGGTCCGGCGCAGACCTGGCCAGCTACACCAGCCGCGCCGTTCGGGATGGTGACGACTGGCTGCTCACCGGTCAGAACGTCTTCATCAGCGGAAAGCCACGTCCCGAGTGGGACGCGGAAGGCCCCGACTACCTCTTTGGGCCGATGGTCACGGACGATGACGCGCCCCGGCACAGGAACATGGGTTACTTCATGATCCCGATGCCTTCGGAGGGGCTGGAGGTAAGGGAGATGGAGCTGCTCGTGGGCCACGACCAGCACGCCATCTTCATGGATAACGTGCGCGTTCCCGGCGACCATCTCATCGGCGGCGACCACCAGGGGTGGCAGGTCGCCAACACCGGCCTGGAGCAGGAGCACGGCGGGCGAGGCCGGGCCTTCCCCAGGGACGAGGTCGTCGACAACCTGGTGGCCTACACCCGCGAGACTGAGCGCGACGGATGCGTCCTGGGCAGCGACCCGGTGATGCAGCAGACGACGATGGACAACGTCATCGACGCCCACGTGCAGAGCCTCCTGCTGCAGCGCACCTACTGGATGTACACAAACCGGATGGAGGTGCAGTACCAGGGCAACCTGTCCAACGTCCACGGCAGAGACTCCAGCCTGCGTATCACCAAGCGGGTCAGGGACGTCATGGGAATGTACTCCATGGTTGACAGGAACGAGCCTGGGGTGCCAATTCGGTGGTACCCAGGAGGTCAACCAGCGGAGCAAGGCCGGGCAGAACCACGGGGCAGGCAGCACCAATATCGCCAGGGTGATTCTGGCGAGACGCATCGGCATCAGCCGGACCCCGGAGAGGCCGTACCCGACTGCCGCTACGGCCACACAGCATCTGGGTTAGAAGGATTGAAGGTTGGGGCAAGGTCGAAGTCGACAGGCGTCAAAGGCCTTGCCCCGGCGCCTGACATGGGTTATTATGGCGCGGGCTTGAAGGCCCCAAAGGGGGCCTCGGTCCGCGTCGGATATTGAGATGAAGGAGGATACCTGTGGATTTTGCGTATGCATACACCGAGGAACAGCAGAGGTTCCGCCAGGAGGTCAGGGACTGGATAGCCAAGAACGTCCCTGAAGAGATGAAGGACCCCAATGATGGCCGGGACTTCACGGAGGAGCAGTGGGGCTTCTGGCGAGAGAAGCATATTGAGATGGCCGCAATGGGATGGCTGTTCCCCACCTACCCGTCGGAGTACGGCGGCGGCGGGCTGTCCGGCGACCATGAGTCCATTCTCGGAGAGGAGTTCCGGGATGCACGGGTACCGTGGAGCGGGTCGTCACTGCTCTTTGCAACCCTGCTGGTGTGGGGCACGGAGGAGCAGAGACAGAAGTTCCTGGTGCCGTTGCTGAAGGGCGAGAAGACGTCCTGGCAGAAGCTGACGGAGCCGAAGGGTGGCGCGGACCTGGCTAACTACCAGAGCCGTGCGGTGCGCGACGGCGACGACTGGCTGCTGACCGGTCAGAACGTCTTCATCAGCGGTCGACCGCGTCCCGGATGGCAGCCTGCCGGTCCGGACTACCTCTACGGTCCTATGATGACTGACGCGGACGCTCCGAGGCATCGGAACCTGGGATACTTCATCATTCCTGTGCCGGCGGAGGGGCTGGAGGTAAAGGAGATGGCGCTATTGCCCGGGCATGACCAGCACGCCATCTTCATGGACAACGTGCGGGTTCCCGGCGACCACCTGATTGGTGGTGAGACGCAGGGTTGGCAGGTGATGGGCGCTCACCTGGAGCAGGAGCACGGCGGTCGAGGCCGGGCCGTTCCCAGGGATGAGCTTGTTGACGACTTGGTGAGCTACGCCAAAGAGACGAAACTCGGCGGGGCACGCATGAGGAGCACGCGACCCCAGTGGTGCAGCAGACATGCTAGAGGTGTTATCAGACGCCCCTACAGGACGCTCCTGGCACGCGGACTACTGGATGTACCAGAGCCGGATGGAGATCAACTTCCAGGGCAACATGTCCAACGTACACGGCAGGGAGTCCAGCCTCCGCAACGCCCGGAGAATCCGGGAGGTTATGGGCATGAACGCCTTCATAGATCGTAAGGAGCCCGGCGTACGCAACGGCGGCGCGCAGGAAGTGAACCAGCGCACAAGGGCCGGACAGAACCACGCCGGCGGCAGCACGAACATTGCAAAGGTCATCCTGTCCCGGCGCATCGGCATCAGCCGGACGCAGGAGCGGGCTGCGCCCACGCCTTCCACTGCCACCGCCCACGGCAGCTAGGCGCCCACGGCAAGACACTGAAAAGAGCAGGGCCTCCTTTTGGGAGGCCCTGCTTTGTCAATGAGGGAATCAGCTAGGTAAACCGCGCGGTGAGTGAGCGAGAGATTCAGGACTACCTAAACGGTACTCTTTCCGGTATGATAGGCGCAATCAAGCAAAACTTATGTGCGAGGCTTTCCTTGGTTGGCTTATAATATGGGCCAGTTGACAATACGTTAGGAGCTCATTGAACTCGGCCTTGTCAAGGGGGGTGAAGGTGCCTTTGGCTTGGCCTTCTTCTTCGACGGGTGGTGCTGTTGTGATGCACGGTAGCAGATTCTGGCATAGCGCCTCTACAGATAGTTCTGCAACTCCCATAGGTGCTGCAGGAGGAAATCGTGATGCAGCGACAGAAAATAACCATAGGCGTCCGACTAATCGAGGCCGGGGACTACCTATTCGCCTCAGATTTGCTAGAAGCGTGGAACAATTTTCTACGTTTACTATCAGAGGTCGATTCTAGCTCTTTCGGTTCAGTCTACTAGAACGATCGACTGGTCTGTGAGCCAATTGTCGCGTAGTAGCCCTGCTATGTTGACACTTGAGCCTGTGGTCATAGATGAGCAATTGGATAACCGAGAAACGGTTATACGAACTGCTATGTCTGGTATAGCAGCATTGAAAGAGCGCGACGAGCGCCCCAATTATTTTTCTGACCAAGCACTCACTAATGCCAGAGGGTTGGTTTCTCTCCTCGGTCCGCGAGTACGCACGGTAGAGGTGTTTACCCCAGAAGATAGAGTCATATGCACTGAAGCAATCGCATCCAATATTCGTGAAATCTTGCGTCCCGGGCGTGAGATGATGGGGTCTACTGAGGGAGTACTGGAGGCCATGAATTCACATGGTAAATTTCAGTTCTCGTTGTATGAACCTGTGCTTGCAACTCGCATTGGTTGTGAGCTTGATAAGGATGCCGAGCCAGGGCTCAAGGCTCGTATTGTCGAACTCTACGAGCAACGTGTTCGAGTTTCAGGTGTATTGCGAACGAACCGACATGGCGAGGTCCGTTCGGTTAGGGTACGACAAGTGACAGCCTTGCGAAAAGAGCCGATGTTTAAGCGCGTTGAAGAAATAGCAGGAATTTACGACATTACGGGTGGCCTTGATGCCGAGGAGTACGTGCGGAGACTGCGCGATGCCTAGGTTCCAGCGTTCCTATTGGGACGCCAGCACATGGATAAAGTTAATCTCAAATCTACAGTCCCAGCAGGCAACTGAGGACCGCTGGCACTGTGAGCGATTGTTCGAGGAAGCGCTGAACGGTGACCACCAGATTCTTACTTCTACTATGTCTATTGTAGAAGTTCTACGGGCTGAAACAGAGCAGGGTGTGTCCCCTCCGTCCATTCCTCCAGAAGTCAAAGACCGGATTGAAGCCTTATTTGACGAACCGTATATAATTCTGATTCCACTTGACCCAGCAAGGGCACAGGAAGCGCGAGATTTGCGCTGGACATTCCCTTGGCTAAGATCGGCCGATGTGTCCATATAGCAAGTGCGGTTTATGCTCAAGCAGATGTACTATATACATTTGATGGTTCTGGCGGACAACCCCGTCGTATGCTGGATTTGGATAGAAGGGTAGGCAACCCGCCTCTTCCGATTATGATTCCACGTTGGGAAGGCCAACTATCCATTACTTGATGTCAAGGGACAATTACCTTTCTGTCTAGCTATTTGGCAGTTTATCCCGTATTCTTCCGCAGCTCCAACAAGTAGTTGAGGCCCTCCGGACATGCCGGGTGTATGAGCTGATTCGATTTCAGCAGGGACGCTATCTCCTCCTGGATGAATGCGAGGACGGCGGCGTCGAGGCTCTCCCTGGACAGGATGTCCACCCTCTCCTGGAAGGGATATCTGCCGGCCTTGTGGTGGTCCAGCTTGTCCGCCAGGAAGCTATCTTGGCCACCGGCCCCAGACCCCGGTTGAAGGTGGAGTGCCAGTGGACGGCCTCCAGTATCTCCTGGTCTTCCACTCCGCATTCCCGGCGCAGTATCTCCGCGCCCACCGGGCCGTGGAGCAGGACGGGCACCTCGTGTTCCACCGGATGGACCGACAGTCCGTAGGCCCGGGCGCGTTCTCTCAAATCTGCTTCCTTCATCGCCCGGGCGATGTCGTGGGCAGAGGCGGCGATCTCCACCTTCGCAGTATCAATACCGTGAACGCCGGCCAGCTCCAGGGCCTTCTCCCGCACCGTGGCCGCGTGCTGCCTCAAGCCGGCGGGCAGGCTCTCAAGAAGCTCTTCAAGTCTTGGGTTATGTGGAGACAGCTGTAAGCATTGGTTTCCTCCGATCGCATGGTCATTCTATAACGTTCTTTGGTGCGTTTGAAGGGTTGTACGTCCACCCGGCTGCGCATTCCGCGTTGACACCCCGTATACCCTCTGATAGTCTTCTCTTAAGGGCGCCCTTACTGGGGGTGATATGATCCTGGTCACCGGATCCTCCGGCTTCTTGGGAAGGAACGTGGTCAAGGCCCTCCGCACTCGTGGAGAGTCGGTTCGTTGCCTTGTCCGCAGTCCCTCCAGGGCGCGTGTGGTAACCGATTACGGGGTGGAGTTGGCCTACGGGGACGTACTTGATCCCGCGAGCCTGAAAGATGCCATGAGCGGTGTGGATGCAGTGGTGCATCTGGTCGCCATAATACGCGAGAGAGGGCGCAACACCTTCGACCGTGTAAACCGCCAAGGAACGGAGACAGTCGTCCAGGCTGCCCGTGACGAGGGGGTGCGGCACATAGTCCACGTGAGCGCCATCGGAGTTCAGGAGAACCAAGCTTACCCTTACCTGTACTCCAAGTGGCTGGGCGAGCAGGAAGTTATCAGGGGTGGTGTGGCCTACACCATCATCCGACCGTCCATTCTGTTCGGGCCCGGAGACGAGTTCATAAACACCCTTGCCGGTGTGGTGAAGTCCTTTCCCGTAGCGCCTGTGGCGGGAGACGGCAGGGTCCGGTTCCAGCCCATATCGGTGGAGGATGTGGGTGGAATCGTCTCGCTGGTGGCGGGCAACCACCGCTTCGGCGGCAAGATTATAGAGGTTGGGGGGCCTGACCACCTCACATACAATGAAATTTTGGATATAATAGCAAGGACCCTGGGGGTCAGGCGTGTCAAGGTGCATCTGCCGGTGCCGCTTATGAGGCTCCTGACCAGAGTAATGGAGGCCGTAATTCCCAATCCTCCGGCGACCACAAGCCAGCTGGAGATGCTGTCGCTGGATAACGTGACGGACCTGGGCTCGGTTGAGCGAAACTTCAGGATGCGCCCACGGCCTCTGGAGGGCAACATAGGGTACATTCGAAACGCGTCCCGGCTGGACTCGTTGAGAATCGCCCTTGGCTTCCCGCCTAGGCGTATGCGAGACCATTAGGGGGTTGGATGGACTACAGAGAAGCCGTAAACAGGATTATGGGGCTGGTGGACTACGAGCGGCCCAGCACCATTCCCGGGCAGCAACCCCGCTATGACCTTAACAGGATTGGGGCGTTTCTGGAGCTGCTGGGCAACCCCCACCTGGAAACCCCTACGGTTCACGTTGCAGGGACGAAAGGCAAGGGCAGCACGTCTGCTATGGTGTCGTCTATCCTGACCGCCGCGGGCTACAACCCGGGCATGTTCTCGTCGCCACATATGCACACCTTTCGGGAGAGGATTCGTGTTAGCGGAGAGCCTGTGCCTGAGCAAGAATTCGCCGGTCTGGTGGATGAGCTTTGGCCCACTTTGGACAAAGTGGTTGCCGACGGTCATCGGCCGCGTTACCCTCTTCGAGCTGATAACGGCTATGGCGTTTCACCACTTCCGCGGCCGTGGGCTGGGCGCGCAGGTGATAGAGGTCGGCTTGGGCGGGAGACTGGACACGACAAACGTAGTTCAGCCTCTGGTCTGTGGCATCACCTCAATTGGCCTTGACCACACGGAAGTCCTGGGCGACACCATTGAACTGATAGCCGGAGAGAAGGCCGGTATCATCAAGCGAGGCATCCCGGTGGTGACCTCCCACAGAAGCCGGAGGCGCTGACTGTCATACGCGAAGTCGCCGGGCGGCATGGGAGCGCGCTTACGGAGGTGGGAAGGGATATCAGGTGGGAGGAGGGAGGACGCCTCTCTCGACGGCCAGCGGTTCAGCCTGAGACTCCCAAGAGCGCTTACCGGCTGGAGACGCCGCTTCTGGGCAGATACCAGTTGGAGAACGCCGGCGTGGCCGTGGGGCTGGTCGAGTCCCTCATCGACAGCGGTATGAAGATCACCTCTGAGCACATTCGAGAGGGCCTCAGACGAGTTGAGTGGCCGTGCCGAATGGAGGTAATACAGAGAGACCCGTTGCTGATAGTGGACGGCGCCCACAACCCGCACTCCGCCGGTCGAATTGTGGAGGCGGTCAGGGATATGTTCCCGGAGCGCCGCGTGGTGCTTATAGTCGGGGTGTCCGGCAACAAAGACCTGCCGGGGCTGGTGGAAGAGTTATCCAGAATGGAGTCGAAGGCGGTGATAGCGACGAGGTCGCGTCATCCCAGGGCGGCTGCGCCGGAGCGCATAGCCCAGGCCTTCTCAAGCTATACCGACCGGATTCACCAAACGGACGATGTGACGCGGGCGCTTGAGATGGCCTTCGACATGGCCGGGGAGATGGACCTGATTCTGACCACCGGGTCCCTTTTTGTGGCTGCGGAGGCGCGGGAGGTAATCAAGGGAATAGAACCGGAGCTTTATCCGGTCATTGAGGCGCAACCGACTTCGACTGCCCCGAACGGCTAGGCGTGACGCCGGTCGGGTGCAGGTAAACAGGACATATTTGGGGAGAGAGTTTGATGAAAGACAGAACGCGAGTTGTAGTTACTGGTATGGGCGCGGTCACTCCGTTGGGCAACACGGTGCAGGAGTTCTGGGATGGCTTGGTGGCGGGGCGGTCGGGCATAGCTCCCATGACCCTCTGCGACCCGTCGGCATATCCGTGCCAGATCGCCGGCGAGGTCAAGGGGTTCGACCCCGGCGGCTATGTCAACCCCCGTGAGGCCCGGCGAATGGCCCGCTTCAGCCAGCTGGCCCTGGCGTCGGCACAAATGGCCGTTGATGACTCCGGTCTGGACCTTGAGCGGGAAGACCATGAGAGAATAGGAGTCCTGTTGGGCACCGGCATCGGCAGTCTGCCGACGACCCAGGAGATATGCCAGGAGATGTTATCCAAGGGTGCTATGAAGATAAACCCATTCTTCATCCCGATGATACTGCCCAATATGGCCTCCGCGAACGTTGCCAGGATCTTTGGGGCCAAGGGCTACAACTCCACTGTCATCACTGCATGTGCAGCGTCGAACCAGGCCATTGGAGAGGCCTCCGAGGCCATCCGGCGCGGCGTGGTAGACATTGTTCTGACGGGCGGCACCGAGGCCAGTATAAGCGAGTTGGGGCTGTCCGGATTCTGCATCCTCAAAGCTCTGAGCACGCGCAACGAGGAGCCGGACAAGGCCAGTCGCCCCTTCGACGCTGGGAGGGACGGCTTTGTGCCGGCGGAGGGATCGGCCATTCTGATCCTGGAGAGCCTGGAGCACGCCCTGGACAGAGGCGCCACAATTCTGGCGGAGGTGGCGGGCTTCGGCACGTCCTGCGACGCCTTCCACGCGGTCCAGCCGGACGAGACCGGGGAAGGAGCTGCCAGGGCTATCCGGTGGGCTCTGGCCGACGCTGAAACGCCTCCCGAAACAATCGACTACATCAACGCCCACGGCACGTCCACGCAACTCAACGACGCCATCGAGACAATGGCCATAAAAACTGTGTTCGGAGAGAGGGCCTACAAGGTGCCCATCAGCTCCACCAAATCGATGGTGGGGCACGCCCTCGGCGGCGCGGGAGCGCTGGAGGCCGTGGCCTGCGTGAAGAGCATCCTGGACGGCGTGATACATCCCACGGTGAACCAGGAGCGCCCGGACCCGTCCTGCGACCTGGACTACGTGCCAAACGTGGCGCGGCAGCAGAGGGTGGATGTTGTACTGTCCAACTCCTTCGGCTTTGGCGGGCAGAACACCTGCACGGTGTTCAGGCGTTACGCGGAGTAGGGAGCCTACGCGCCCAGGGCTGATTTCAGCGCCGCCAGCAGCGCGGCCTCTTCCGTTGTAAGCACAGTCCGAGGGTCGAGGAGCACCCGGTCGTCCTCTATGCGAGCTATGACAGGGGTGTCAGCCTCCCTGAGGCGCTTGGCCAGGCCCTGCGCACCCTCAGGTGTACCTTGGGCCCCGATGGAGAGCAGCCAGGTCGGGATGCTCTCCCCGGGCAGGCTGCCCCCGCCAATGGCGGATAGGCCCTGGACTACCTGAGCCGTATCCCCGACGCTCTTCTGCCAGCTTCGGGCCCGTTTCTCAAGAGCGTCGACGGGGGTGGAGATCATCCTCCAGATGGGGACCTTCTCCAGCGACTCGCCCTTCAGGTAGTGGAGAAGGGTCGCGGTGAGGGCTGCCAGGCTCAGCTTGTCTATGCGCACAGCCCTGGCCAGGGGATGCTCTTGCCAGGCGCGACACAAGCTCCCTCTTTCCAGCCACGATGCCGGCCTGGGGGCCTCCCAGGAGCTTGTCGCCCGAGAAGAAGACCAGGTCTGCCCCGGCCGCGATGCTGTCCTGCACCATAGGCTCGCGGGCCAGCCCGAACCGGGTGGTATCAAGAAGGCAGCCGCTGCCCTGGTCGTGGAGGACGGGAGTCCCTCGGCCGGCGCCTAGCGCCGCCAGCTCTTCCACGGTGGCTTCATGGGTAAAGCCGATGACTCGGAAGTTGCTGGTGTGCACCTTGAGCATTGCGGCGGTATCCTGGGTTAAGGCGCTTTCGTAGTCGGCGAGGTATGTGCGGTTGGTCGTGCCCACCTCCACCAGCGCCGCTCCGCTCTGCCTCAGCACGTCGGGTATACGGAAGCCGCCGCCTATCTCCACGGCCTCACCCCTGGATACGATGACCTCTTTGCCGTTGGCAATTGCCGAGAGGCCCAGCAGCACCGCCGAGGCGTTGTTGTTGACCACCAGGGCCGCCTCTGCGCCCGTTATCTGGCACAGCAGGGACTCGACGTGACTCTGGCGGGAGCCCCTTGCTCCGTCGGCCAGGTCCAATTCCAGGTTTGTGTACCCTCTCGCGGCCTGGAGCATAGCCTCCACGGCCTCGTCGCTTAGAGGGGAGCGTCCCAGGTTGGTGTGAAGGACAACCCCGGTGGCGTTGATGAGGGGTATGGGCTTTGGGCGCCAAAGGGATGCGGCCTGGGAGGCGATGCTGTCCACCATCTCATCGAAAGAGGGGGAAGGCTTGCCCTCGGCGATCTCTTGACGCACCTGCTCCAGGGACCGGCGCACCAGGTAGACCAGCGACTCCCTGGAGTAGACGTCGATTAGCTCCTCGACGCGGCTGTCCGAGAGGAGTTTCTCAACGCTGGGTATACTTCGATAGCCGGTGGACATAGGCGTAATTGTTTGGAGGCTTGACCCATTCTAGCACATCGCAGGCAAACAACTGTCCGACGCTTTCGATTACACAGAGGAGCTGTGCCTCACTATGGAACCAGGTCCAAGGCCTTCAGCGCCAGCAACCGGACGTCTTCAGGTGGTGGTCTGGCCGTAGCGCCGTCGGAGGCTAGAGGCAGATTCGCTTCAAGATCGGATCTGCTCACCCAAAACCAGCCTTCGTTCAAAGGATGGGGTAAGCTTGCGAGCCGGCAGAAGTAGATCATGTCAATGTGCTGGTGGTATCCTTCCACAGGGTCCTGGATATCCTCCACCATTATGGTGAACGGAGGATGGACTTGAGTCGGATAATCCAGGGTTAAAAGAGCGCCAGTCGGCACGACTTCCGCGGATACGCCCGTCTCCTCATTTATCTCCCGCAGAACGGCTTGGACGGGGTCCTCGTTGTCCTCTATGTGTCCGCCGGGAGGAAGCCACTCCCGGACCTTCTGGTGCCAGTGCAACAGGACGGCGCCGTCGTGCACGACTAATCCGGTTGCGGTGAAGTGTCTGACCAAGCTCATGGGAGAGCCATTGTAACTGGCTTTATCCGTATCAAGTCAAGGAGGTAAACCAGGTCGTATTCTCGGTGTGTGTTGGTAATGGCAATAACACCACCCAAGCGCCAGACCACCCCTGCGGAAGCAGGGGTCTATCGTTCACAATTACGGGAGTCCTGGATTCCTGCTTGCGGAGACCTTTGAATAACCCATAGCGCCATCCCGCAAGAATTGCCCTCACCGTCATTCCTGCGGAGGCAGGAATCTAAAAACGCTGTCTGCAAGACTGCGATGCCTTGGAAGAAAGGCTTTAGATTCCCGTTTTCACGGGAATGACGGAGAAGATAGTCTCTTCCAGGAGCTACACCGGAGTTTTGCAAAGGTCTCCTTGCGCAGGAATGGTTGAATAGAGAGGTAGTATCCGAACGGAGTTGGCAATGCCAACACGTATCAGGAATACCACCGAGCGGCCCGCATAGCTTTAGCCGTAAGCGCCCTGTATAATGGGCGCATCTCCGAGCCTACTTCTCTGCAACGTGATACTAAGAAATATCGACCTACTCTTCGACGACCCGTTTTCTTTCGTCGTCGTTTTCGTTACTTCCCTGGCTACGGCGGGCCTTGCCCTGCTCATAGGCATCACTGTCCACGAGTTCAGCCACGCTGCGGTGGCGAATCGCCTTGGTGACGACACAGCCCGGCGCTTGGGCAGGCTCTCTCTGAATCCCGTCAGGCATCTGGACCCGGCGGGCACCATCCTGCTCCTGATGGTGGGCTTCGGCTGGGGTAAACCTGTGCCGGTGAACCCGAATCGGCTGCAGGGCAACGCCTGGAAGGGCATGTCGATTGTGGCGGGAGCAGGGCCGATATCAAACCTCATGACCGCGACGGTATGCGCTATACCCATAAGAATTGGGCTGCTCCCCTGGCAATCGCCATTCTACTTCAGAGGCTTTGAAGGCCAGGGCCTAGAGGGTCTTGCGGCAGACCTCTTGGGCTTCGTCATCTTCTACAACATCATCCTTGCCGTGTTCAATCTCATTCCGCTGTTTCCATTGGACGGCTCCAAGGTGGCTCTCGGGATACTGGGGAACGTGTCTCCCCCAATGGCCGCCAAGATGGCCCGTTTTGAGGCTACAGGCCCTGCGATTCTGCTTGCGGTGATAGCCATAGACTTGTTTACAGGGTTGAATTTGCTCTGGAGGGTTCTAAATCCCCTAGTCGATGTGGTAGGCTTGTTGATAATGGGGCGCACTCTTTAGCGTGAGGACGTAAACCGGAGTGCAAGAGCAAGGAGACGTGAAGTGGACAAGATTACAATTATAGGTATGGGACTTATCGGTACCTCTCTGGGAATGGCCTTGAAGAAGGCGCAGGTGAAGGCGGAGATAGTGGGCAGCGACCGGGACAGGGGAGTCGCCAACCGCGCCCAGAAAATGGGAGGCTCCGATTCGACCGAGACGAATCCCCTCAGGGCGGTGAAAGACGCTCGAATCGTGGTTCTGGCCACGCCCATAAGGGCTATAGAAGAGGTGATGAAGTTCATAGGGCCCGAGCTGGAGGATGGCTGCGTGGTGACTGACACCGGCAGCACCAAAGTCTCCGTGCTCCAGTGGGCTGAGGAGCATCTGCCCTCCAATGTCAGCTTTGTGGGGGGGCATCCCATGGCCGGCAAAGAGGATTCCGGCCCGGAGGCCGCGCAGGTGGACCTCTTCCAGGGCGCCACCTACTGCCTCATACCTGCCCGGAACACAGGGCAGGACGCTCTTGCAACTGTTGTCAACTTGGTGGAGGCAGTAGGAGCCAAGCCCTACTTCATTGACCCAGTGGAGCACGACAGCTACGTTGGAGCGGTGAGCCACCTTCCGATGATTCTCTCTACCGTTTTGACCAGGCTCACCTCCAGCAGTCCGTCCTGGCCGGAGATCGCCAGGCTGGCCTCATCCGGCTACAGGGACGTCAGCCGTCTGGCGTCCCAGGACCCGGCAATGAACAGGGACATTTGCATGACCAACCAGGATGGGCTAATGCATTGGATAGATGAGTTCATCAAGGAGATGTACGGCTTCAGGAACCTGGTGAAGGAGGGCGGTGAGAAGACACTGGGTAGCGCCTTCGACGCCGCCTGGGAGGCGCGGGACAGATGGGTCCAGAACAAGGTGACGGCTCCATCGTCGCATCCGGCGGTGGAGATTCCCACCACTGCCGAGACTATGGGCGGGATGTTCCTGGGGGACCGGGCGGCCGGGCGCGTTCGCGAGATGATGGAGTGGTGGAAAGACGACAACAGGAAGAAGCGCGGGTAGGCTATGAAAAGATCTGCTTCTCCAACCGCGAAGCTGGAGGGCGCCATATCCCCTCCGGCGGACAAGTCCGTTTCCCACAGGGCGGCCATTCTCAACAGCCTGGCCTCCGGTGAGGCTGTAATCGACAACTTCTCGGTGGGCAGGACTGCCGGTCCACCCTCCGCTGCCTGAGCGCCCTTGGCGTCTCTGCGGAACGCGTTTCTCCTGAAGACAGCCCCTACGGGGACGCTGCAGTTGAGGATCACGTCTCCTGGCCTGGAGGGCCTTACAGAACCCGGAGACGTGCTGAACGCCGAGAACAGCGGCACCACAATGCGGTTCATCATGGGCCTTCTGGCGTCGACGCCCTTCGTCTCCGTGGTGAACGGCGACCGCTCTCTGCGCTCCAGGCCAATGGCGCGGATAGTGCAACCCCTTCGCCAGATGGGGGCAGAGGTCATGGGAAGGGGAGGGGGATCGCTGGCCCCCTTGACCATAAGGGGAGGAGACCTGCGCGGGATGGAGTACGATATGCCTGTGGCGAGCGCACAGGTGAAGTCGTCACTCATAATTGCATCCCTCTTTGCCGGCAGCGAGACGGTGCTGCACCAGCCCGCCCTGTCCAGAGACCACACGGAGCGGATGCTGCAGGCCATGGGCGCCACCATTATAGAGGATGGGCTGACACTGGTAGTGAAGCCCGGCTCCGAGCTGAAGCCCCTAGACGTGAAGGTGTCCGGAGACATTAGCTCCGCGGCCTTCTGGCTGGTGGCAGCGGCCGCCCATCCCAACGCCAGGGTAAGGTTGACCAACGTGGGCGTGAACCCCAGCCGCGCAGAGGTGCTGGAGATACTGAAGGCAATGGGGGCCAACATAACACTGGAGAACCCTCGCATAGAGGGCGGAGAGCCGGTTGCAGATATTTATGTTGAGTCCAGCGAGCTTCGGGGTGTTGAGATAGCCGGAGACCAGATACCAATAGCCCAGGACGAAATTCCGGTGCTGGCCCTTGCCGCCTGTTTCGCTCAGGGAACCACCACCATAAGGGACGCGCAGGAACTTCGGGTCAAGGAGTCGGACAGGATAAGCGCTACTGCAAGAGAATTGAACAAACTGGGCGCAAAGATCACGGAGCTTCCGGACGGCATGATAATCGAGGGACGGGTTCTCTAAAAGGCGGGGCCTGTCTCAGCCACGATGACCATCGCCTGGCGATGACCCTGGGCATAGCCGGACTGCTGGCTGATGACGATGTGGCGCTCTCTGGAGCGGAGGTGGTGGACGTGTCCTACCCCGGTTTCTGGAAGGATCTGGAGGCGCTGACGTGCGAGTAAGAAGGGGGAAGTTTGAGACCAACGGAAGAGCGCCTGTATGACATGCCGACTCCGGGTCCGATGCTGGTCGTACTTTCGGGCCCCTCCGGTGTGGGCAAAGACTCAGGTGCTGAGGCAGCTTAGGGAGCTTGACCAGTACTGGCACTTCACGGTTACGGCCACCACTCGTACCCAGCGGCTTGGGGAAGAGGACGGCGAAGACTACCTGTTCATGGACAGAGACAGTTTTCACCAGATGGTGCGCGAGGGCGACTTTCTGGAGTGCGCGCAGGTGTACGGCAACTGGTACGGCGTCGTACCCAAGTCCCAGGTGAAAGAGGCCATGGACAAGGGGATGGACGTGATTATGAAGAACCGACGTCCAGGGCGCCGCCACTATGAAGGACCTGGCTCCGGGTGGAATATTCATCTTCCTGATGCCCCCTTCGCCCCAGGAGTTGGAGCGGCGTCTGCGAGAGCGCAAGACGGAGACTACGCCGGACCTTGAGCTGCGTATCCGCACCGCCATGGACGAGATGCGGCAGTTGTCCCAATTCGACTACGTGGTGGTGAACGACGACCTTGAAACGGCGGTAGACCAGATAAAGGCAATCATCACCGCGGAGAAGTGCCACATACCCCCTCGATGGGTGTATCTCTAGTGGTATCCTCTCAAGCCCGGTGATAGAATGCCTGATAATCAAGAACGCGCTGGAGGTTGACCTTGGCGGATTTTGTTAAAGTAGCCAGTACCGACGACCTGTCTCCCGGGGACCTGATGCTTGTTGAACTGGACGGCGATCGCGTTGTCCTGGCCAACTCCGAGGGCCAGATATACGCCCTTGCGGAACTATGCACTCACGCAGAGTGCCCCCTCTCCGAGGGCGAGTTGGACGGCGAGGAGTTGGTGTGCCCGTGCCCCGGGAGTCGCTTCAACGTGAAGACCGGCGAGGTGATCAGTCTGCCCGCCAACGAGCCCCTTGCAACATACAACGTCAGCATTGACGGCTCCGACGTCCTGATTGCGCCGGCCGGCTAGGCGTTCCTAAGACGAGAGGCGTGTGACTGCGATGGGGTTAAAGCTCGTATCGTAGTCGTAGTGGTCCAGACCCTCCCGCCGCTTTATCCAGCCGACTACCAGGTACGTCAGGGGAGTGGCGGCGGCCTCGTAGATGACCTTTGCGGTCCACTGGGTCAGGATAAGGCGTCACGAGCGCGACCTCGCCGCCCGCAAAGGCCAGGGTGATGAACACCGCGGAGTCCAGCCCCTGTCCCACTATCGTTGAGCTTATTGTCCGGCTCCACAGCCATCGTCCCTGGGTCCATATCTTCATCTTGGCCAGGATGGTTGAGTTGGCAAATTTCCCCCACCAGGTAGGCGGCGAAGGAGGCCATCAGCAGCCTGGGAGTGTAGCCAAGGATGGAATCGTAGGCCTCCTGCCCTCCCCAGAAGGAGGCCGGAGTCATGAAGCCGCCGACCCAGATGGCCGCTACCGCTACAAGGTTGCACAGAAAACCCAGCCAGATGACGGCGCGTGCCTGCCGGTAGCCGTACACCTCGGTCAGTATGTCCCCTATGATGTAGCTGAGGGGGAAGATGACTATGGCCGCGGGAAGGACGTGACCAAAGATTACCACCAGCTTCACCGCTATGATGTTGGCCGTGATGAGGCAGGTGACGAACAGCGCAGTCACCACCATGAAGGTGGGTGATAGCCTGAGCTGATTTGACGCGTTTCCGGTCACGTTAGACTTCCGTGGCTTGGTAGGCTACGTCCACGGTCGTGTGAATGCCGCCACGGGTCTTGTAGTCCAGTGATACGGCCATTCGATGGGGCCGGCACGCGGCCACCAGGTCTTTCAGGATGCGGTTGGCGGCGTGTTCCTGCACAATGCCAACCTGCCTGTATGAGAGCAGGTAGTACTTCAGGGACTTCAGCTCCAGCAGCTTCATGTCAGGAACGTAGCGGATGGTCAGGGCGCCAAAGTCCGGGAGGCCTGTCCAGGGACATACGGCAGTGAACTCGTCGGTGTCTAAAGCTATCTCGCTTTCCTGCTCCGGGTACTCGTAATCGAAGGCCAGAA